GGCGAAAATGACAAAAAAATACCCCCCAAATGATCCCAAATAGCCCCAAAATGCTGAGCAGATCGTCCCCCGACTATGTCTTTTTACCATTTTTGAGTACTCCTCCTGTAGAGGGACAGGCCCGACTCAAAACAGCATCCATCAGGACCTCCTTCTGCTCCTCTGCTCTGGGACCCTGGACCCTGGCTTCAAGAAGCGCCTGCCTGGCCAGGACCCGGTGCCCGGTGCACGGCCGGCGCTCCCCCTCCGACGCGCCTCCCGGCCTCGGCCAGCATGGCACGGTGCAGCGCGCACAGGAATTGCGCCCGCAGCCTCTGCGGCCCCCCGCCGCGGGAGGAGGAGGAGAAGGAGGAGGCGGAGGCGGAGGAGGAGGAAGAGGAGGAGGCGGAGGGGGCGGAGGAGGAGGCGGAAGAGGAGGAGGCGGAGGAGGAGGAGGAGGAGAAGGCGGAGGAGGAGGAGGCGGAGGAGGAGGAGGCGGAGGAGGAGGAGGCGGAGGAGGAGGAGGAGGCGGAGGAGGAGGAGGAGGCGGAGGAGAAGGAGGAGGCGGAGGAGGAGAAGGAGAGAGGAGAAGGAGGAGGAGGAGGAGGAGGAGGAGGAGGAGGAGGAGGAGGAGGGAGGAGGAGGAGGAGGAGGAGGAGGAGGGAGGAGGAACTGCGCCCGAAGCCTCTGCGGCCGCCCGCCGCCCTCGCACGCCGCCGCCGCCACTGGCGCGCCGCCGCTGTCGTCGCCGTCGCCGTCGCTGAGGCCGTCGCCCGCACCGCTGCCGTCGCCGCACCGTCGCCACCGCCGTCGGTGCGGGGCCCCAGGGTGGAGACCACCACCACCACCACCACATCCCTCTGCCCCCTCCCTGGGCCCCTCCCTCTCCCAGGAAGGAGGAGGGGAGGAGGGAATGGAGGTGGTGGTGGTGTATGGAGGGGAGGAGGGGAGGAGTGAATGGAGGAGGAGGGGCGGAGGGAATGGAGGAGGGGGAGGAGGAGGGGGAGGAGGAGGAGGAGGAGGAGGAGGAGGAGGAGGAGGAGGAGGAGGAGGAGGAGGAGGATGGAGGGGGAATGGAGGTGGTGGTGGTGCATGTGTTCTTGGGGCCCGCACGTGGTCCGTCCAGGCTCGAGGGTGCAGGCAAAACCAGGCGTCCTGGGCCCTCCTCGGGCTCCCAAGGCCTCCCGCTCGGGGCTGGCGGGCGGCTGCAGGGCAGCAGCAGCGGCAGACGGGTGGTGGGGATGGGGGGGGGCCACGTGGCGGGTCGGGAGCCGAGGAGGGGCGCGGGGAGGGAGAGATGGACGAGCGTGGAAACATAAAATTACCCCAGTGCGACCCTACCTATAAGTTGGAGCCCCTAGGAAAGCAGCATTAGTTGCGATGCTACACTATGTTATGCCATGCTATGCTGCGCGATGTTATGCTGCACTATGCTATGCTATGCTATGCTGTGCTGCGTTATGTTATGATATACTATGCTATGTTATGATATGATAAGCTATGATATGCCATGCTGCGCTGTGCTATGTTAAGCTATGCTGTGATATGATATGATATGCTATGCTAAACTGCGTTATGCTGTGCTATGCTATGCTGTGCTGCGCTATGCTATGCTATGCTATGATATGCTATGATATGCTATGCTATGCTTGGCTATGTTATGCTATGCTAATGCAGCGCTGCGCTATGCTAAGCTAAGCTATGCTAACCCTCTAGACAGAACCTAGGTAGGGAATTACACCCATGCTAATACGCTGTGCTGCGCTATGCTATGCTACGCTATGTTATGCTGTGTTATGCTATGCTAAAACTCAGCGAAGCTAAGATGAAGGTAAGCTAAGCTAAGATAAACCTGAGCTACGATGAAGCTAAGCTAAGCTAAGATGAAATCAGCTAAGCTAAGATGAGATAAGCAACGCTAAGCTAAGGGGACGTAACTGGCGGAACCGCGGGGCGGATGCCGGGGGAACCGCCCGGGGCGAGTTGCATTGCCCGGCCCCTTTAAGCAAAGAGAGTAAGAACCCTTCTAGGCAGAGCCTAGGCAGGGAAGAAGGGGGGCAAGATAGGTCGTACATGTCTTCCGCAAGGTGTGGCGGCATCCGCGTGCTGGCCCCGTTCGCAGGCTGGCCATCTGCCATGCACTGGCACCCTGGTGTGAAACCACGGAACGTTACACTGATTTCCATCCCTGTCGGTTCTTTTCCTCCCCCGACTGTTCATCCTGTGGCTGGCGTCCCGAATGGGCCTGGCCGTCGCGGTCGCCTGCGGCGGGAGGAGGATTGGGGGGAAGCTGGGGGGTGGAATATGGGCTATACTGTGGAGATCGAGCTAGCCAAATCGGACGAGTCAGCGGACCTCGCCCAGCCCCACCCTTCCTCCCATAACATAACATTAAATTGCGGCATCACAATTCAACACCGGGATTGGAACGCGTTCCCACCTACCGAGCGGAAGGCGCTCGCGCGCGGTCCTGCTTCCAGCGACTTGCAGAAGAGGGGCAACTGCGCGGGCTCCGCAGGGCGGGAGCGGCAAGACTTTGCATCGAGCGCGGCGAAGATCAAGCATGCGCCGTGCCGATTCAGCACTGCCACTGTCGCACACACACAGAAGCACGCACGCACGCACGCACGCACGCACGCACGCACGCACGCACGCACGCACGCACGCACGCACGCACGCACGCACGCACGCACGCACGCACACACACACACACACACACACACACACCACACCCACACACACCCACACGCACACGCACACGCACACGCACACGCACACGCACACGCACACGCACACGCACACGCACACGCACACGCACACGCACACGCACACGCACGCACGCGCGCGCGCGCACGCACGCACGCACGCACGCACGCACGCACGCACGCACACACACGCACGAACGCACAAACACGCACGCGCAAACACGAGGTGCGCGGCGCCTGGGCGAGGACAGCACTTCGCGACGCCGCCGCGCGGCCCCGCCGACGCTGCCGCTCCCGTGCCGCCCGGCGCACGAGGGCCCGCGCACGCCGGCCTCTCTCTCTCGAGCGAAGCGCGGGCGCGCGCGCGCAGCTTTTATGGCCTGGGCGCGGGCGGCGCGTCGCGCCCGCTCTTGCGCGAGGGAGGAGGAGGAGGGAGGAGGAGGAGGGAGGAGGAGGAGGAGGAGGAGGAGGAGAGAGGAGGAGGAGGAGGAGAAGGAGGAGAGGGAGGAGGAGAGGAGGAGGCAGGAGGAGGAGGAGGAGGAGGAGGAGGAGGAGGAGGAGGAGGAGGAGGAGGAGGAGGAGGAGGCGCGGCGAGCCAGCAGAAGGCAGGCGCCCCGCGCCGGTGCGGCGGCGCCGCTGCGCGGGCGAGGCGTGCGCGTGCTGCCGCGGCGCGGACGGCAGGACCGCTCCCCTACGGTCGGGGCGTGGACCTGAGGAGCTCCAAAGAAGGAACGAGGCCCCGCTCTCCCATGAGTTGAACTTCGATTTCCCATGGGAAGCCTCGAGAAAACCGAAGGCATAGGTCGGGCGTGTCCCCCTGCAGGCGGATGCTGGACGAGAGATAAAAGCTTGACAACAAAATGCACCCAAGAGGGGAAGAGTAGTCGACAAATCGTCTCCAGAATCTGTTCTTACTACTTTTTGATATTCCTCCTGTAGAGGGACACGCCCGACTCAACCCTAAGCGGGAGTTCGTGCGTGCGGGAGAGTTGGCGCGGTGCCGAGGCGAGGGCGCCACTTCGCCCTCTCCCGCGCGGGAGATGTGCACCGCGTCGCGCTCCTGCCGCGCATTCTGCGGCGTGGGCGGCAGAACGTCCACGTTGAGAGCAAACGCGTCGACCTTGCATTACTTGAAATCAAAGATGGTGTGGCGTCCCGAATTGGCTGGCCATCGGCCAGGTCGGCAGCAACGCAATGCGGACGGTAGACAGATAAGGAGCAAATATTGGGTCAGGGTGCAAAAGCCTGCGCCTGACGACTTGAACAAGTATTTTCAATGTCTCCGCAGCCACTATGAAAATCGTGTTTTCAATATCTTGCTTGTCTCACCACAATTCGCTCTTCCGCTGGTGCGGATTGCCCCGCCTCGCCGCCGACGGAAAAAAAATCACCACAGTTGTGCACGCAAGACTGCGGTTCACCAGTTCACCAGGAGGGGGGACGAGGCAAAGGGGAAAGGGACGAAGACGAAGACGAGTCCGAGGTCCCAGACCTGCGGCGGATTGGGGTTTGCCAAACTGCAGAGCAATCGGCCCCTTCCCCAGAGCCAGTTATCTGTCTCGGATCGCACGTGACGGTCCCAACGCCCATGGGGCCTGATAAGGTCCCCTAGAACCCAAAGTTAATCAAAGCCTTCCGTCCTAAAATGTCGTACATTTTCCCGAGGAGTTGCGACGTCACAAGGCCTGGACTCCAGGCCTCAGCTCGGGTCTCCGGCGGCCGTTCGGGACGATCTGGGCACCCCTGGGACGCTCTTGGCGAGGCGCAGCCGCAGGAAAGCACACCGAGGCTGGGAAACCTGCGGGAACCGACGCATGGCCCGAAAACCTCGCACCTCGATCCTCGATGGGGCAGCGCTTCGGCAGGCCCAGAGATTGACACCAACACCAAAACCGGCAGTGTGCCTCCACCGGGGGAAGAAGATCCCGATCTCGGTGATGGTGGCAAGATTCGGGCTTCCACGGTGACTGAAAATATGGCCACCAACACCGAAATCTAGGGTCATCTTCCCCATGTGGAGGCAACCCCCTGTAAAACAGAGCTAGGATCGGGATAAATCGCTCCAGAGCGTTCCGGAGCGCTCTCAGAGCGTTCCGGAACGCTCTGGAGCGGCCGCGGCGCCCAATACATCCTCCAAACCCGCCGATTCTCAGAGATTTCGAGTTATCCCGATCCGATGCTGTCCCGATCTTCGCGTCGTTTTGCCATGTGGAGACGACCCCCTGTGTTGATGTTGGTGCCGATTTCTAGACTTCCAGCGCTTCGAGCTGCCGGCCAGGCCCGGGCCCGCCGCCGAGGCGGGGCGGGAGCGGCGGCCTCTTGGGGGCGCAGTCGTACGCGGCGCGCACCTGCGCGCCTGGCGCGCGGGCGGCGGAGGGGCGGCAGCGTTTCGCGCGCTGGCCGCGGCTGCGGAGGCCTCACGCCGGAGAAGGGCCCTCCCGTCGGGTCGGGCATGGCCCCCTACAGGGGGATTCTGGGCGAAAAACTGAAGATGCTAGAAATATACTCCGAAGATGATCAACCATTGTCAAAAAAATTGTCCCCAGACGATTTTGGGACTATTCTTGAAGATTCCCGCTGTAAGGGCACGCCCGACTTGACCCCTCCTGGGACCCCCAGGGGCCTCCCCAGGCAGCCAGGTTCGGACGTCAAGTAATAATGGGGGTGAGAGGCAGGGGGGGAAGGAGCGTGCACCTTTCATGCCCCATGGGGGTCCCTTTTGGGCCCCTTCTGGGGCACAGAAGGTGTACGCTGCTACGCCCCCTCCCCCCGTGCATCGCACCCCCTCTGCTCGACGCCCGACAGGAGTACCTTTCAGTCCATGCAGGCGTTTGTCCTCGACTTCGGCTTCCAGGGGCTGGTTTCGGCCCCTGGGGCCATCAAGAAGGGACCCAGGACGACCAACTGTCCCCGGGGGAGAAAGTGCGGAGCTCTGGGAACTCGCGGGATATCGCCGGCGTCTGCGTTCGGGTCCGGGGCGGATGCAGAACTTGCCAAAGGATGCGCTCCTGAACTGCCTAAGACCCAGAAACTACCCGAGCCCCCCAGAAGCCTACTCGAACAGTAAAGGCATTCCGAGCACACTGTCTCACAAAACTGAACTGACCAACGCCCTTTTCCCCCTACGCCTGGACGCGAGAGCTCTCCCAGCCACCACCACCCTGCTAGTCCTGCACATTCGCCACCTTGTCATCCGCAACCCCCCTCCATGAAACTCCTGAAACCAAGGGAAGCCTCCAGAAACATCAGCACGGAAACCAACTCGTACCATCTCATACCATCCGAGAGCATCTGGCAACCTTCGACGATCACAGGAAATCGTCAAGTGACTGGTGACTCTCCTCCGCTCGCGTGAAATATGCCCGACAGGTACACAGAAGGAACACAAACCATTTTTCCCAACCATCATGTGGAATTGGGTCCTCGTTTTGAGGAAACAGCGCACCGCGTCTCTTCTCTCTTTCCTCCTCTTCCCCTCCTCCTCCCTCCTACCCCTCCTTGCCCCTGCCCTCAGCATGTACCTGGTTCGGCACACCCCTCAAACGCTTCGCGGCCCCACACGGATCTCCACCAAAGGTCCACATGCCAGCAATCGCATGCGCCCTCCGAGCAACTTTTGGTACAACCCCTACACCTTTCGTGGCCCCACAAGGAGCTCCACCGACGGCCCCACTAGCTGCGTTAGCATGCGCCCACCGCACCTATTTCGGCACACCCTCACACGTTTCGCAGCCACACAGGGAGCTCCACCGACGGCACCAATGGTTGCGTTCGCATGCGCCCACAGCACCTGTTAGGCCCACCCCTCACACGCTTCGTGGTCAAATAGGAAGCTCCACCGACAGCCACAGTGGCTGCGTTCGCATGCGCCCACCGCTCCCATTTTGGTACACCCATCACACGCTCCGTGGCCCCATAATGAGCTCCACCGACGGCCCCAGTGGCTGCGTACGCATGCACCCACCGCACCCATGTTGGCACAGCCCGCACACGCCTCGTGGCCCCATAAGGAGCTCCACCGACGGTCACAGTGGCTGCGTTCGCATGCGCCCACCGCACCCATTTTGGCACACCCCTCACATGCTTCGTGGCCCCAGAAGGGGGCTCCACCGACGGCCCCAATGGCCGCGTTCGCATGCGCCCGCAGCGCCCATGTTGGCACACCCCGCACACGATTCGTGGCCCCGTACGGATCTCCACCGAAGGTCCACATGCCAGCGTTCGCATGCGCACACCGCACCAATTTCGGCACACCCCTCACACTTTTCGCGGCCCCATATGAAGCTCCACCGACGGCCCCAGTGGGTGCGTTCGCATGCGCCCACCGCGCCTATTTTGGCACACACCTCACACGCTTCTTGGCCACATACGAAGCTCCCCCGACGGCCCCAATAGCTGCATACGCATGCGCCCAGCGCACCGAAGTCGGTACACCCTCACACACTTCGCAGCACCAACGGGATCTCCACCGACAGCCACAGTGGCTGCGTTCGCATGCACACCCCTCACACGCTTCGTGGCCAGCTCCGCCGACGGCCCCAGTCGCTGCTTTTGCATGCGCCCACCGCACCCAGCTTGGCACACCCCTCACACGTTTCGTGGCCCTACAGGGACCTCCTCCGAATGCGGTGCATACAACGAAGTTACTCGCAACTGCATATGGTAGGGTCCTTCGCCAGGCGAAGTTGAGTTTCATGTTCGCTGTAAGGCTGCGCGCATGTGTTTTCAGCCCTACACAGCTGCAGACTGCAAGGATGCATGTCGGCATCGTTACACAATTTGGCTGCCCCATGCGAGAGTCTCGCCTCTTTCAAAGCGCAAGGAGCTTGACCACTGAATCAGCCAAAGAACAGAAGGCAATTTCTATCACATCGAGACGTCACTCTGTACCTCCCTACGCGTATGGACCATACTCTGGGCTATTCCTGGTCAATCGAAGACTCGCCATGGACGGTCTTATGTTGACAGACGTGTTCTCGCTTCGGCGCTGCGCACATGCTGCTGAGGTGTACGCCTGCTATCTGCACGGATGGAGGGCGACCCCTCTCACAAATCACTGCCTTGCAATGTTGGGCGACAGACAATATATATATATATTCATATACAAGGCTGCATAGGCGCTTCGCGCCATGCATCTTGTTCCTTGAAGCTTTGGATCGGCTGGCTTCTCGCGGTATCCTGCGGTCCCTTCGAGGGGTCCTCGCGGGCTCGCATTGCGAATGTGCAGAGGTTGCGGAGGGGGAGTGGGAGAACTTGGTGTTCGAAGCAACGAAAGGGGCAAATGGAATGCAAGAAACGGACTTCAGAGGGGTTCGCAACCAAATTCCTTAAAAAAGGGTGCGAACCCAGGATTCTGACCAGAATGCAGCTTTATACTGCAGAATATGAGGCAGGGGGGGCGCGGGGAGGCGTGCTGACGCGACTTTGGGACAGGCAGGCTCTACGAACGTTATGTATGGGCTTCGTTCTCACCTTCCTCTTTGGACGGAGAGCGCTAATTTTCGCGCTCGGAGGCTGCGATCCTCGTGAGGGGTCCCGTTTCCGGAAGTCCCGGTTGGGGAGGATCCTATTTCGGGGGGGGGGGGGGGTTCCCACCCCCCAGGATTATAAAGGCCTTCTTCGGAGAACTCGTGGAGGTTCTTAGAGGCCTTGTGGGGCGTCGTGGGGGAACTTCGTGAATGCTTCTTGGCGGCTCTTGGGCGCCTCGTGGCACGTCTGGGGAGCCGTTGAGGGGTCTTGGAGCTTCGTGTGGGCGTCTGGGTGCAGAGTCCTTGAAATCATAAGCCTTTTGCGCGCCTTGTGGCCCTTCTTGTGGCCTCCTGGAAGGGGCTTGGGGCCTCGCGTGGCCGTGTGGGAGCCGAGCGCGTTGCAATTGTATGTTTTTCCCTTTTAAGCTCTCTCTGAAGCTTGTCTTGGGGCTCTCTGGGGCCGTCTTGGGCACGGCTTGGGCCGTCTGGAGGCTCTGTTGGGCCGGCTGTGGACTCGCTTGGAGGCTGCTTGGGCCCTCTGGGATTGGTCTTGTGGGCGTCTTCGGCCGTCTTGGCACGTCGGAACAGTGAACATGCAACGAAGCCAAAATCTTAGGAAAGCCATAGGAAATTAATGATTTTGATCTCTTTGGGCCTTTTTCAGAGAACTCTGCGAGGTTCGTGGGGCCTTCTCAAGCTGTCGGGGGAACCTTTAAGAAGCTTTTAAGGCAACCCGAGGACCCTCGCGTACCCTCGTAGGTGCCTCTTCGGACGAAGATCGCTCAGTTTCGCGCTGGAAGGCTGCGATCCTCGTGAGGGGTGCCGTTTCTGAAGGCCGTCTTGGGGCTCTCTGGGGCCGTCTTGGGCACCCCTTGGGCCGTGTCGGGGCTGTCTTGGGCCGGTTTCGGACTCGCTTGGAGGCCTCTTGAGCCGTCTGGCATCGGTCTTGTGGGCGTCTTCGGCCGTCTTGGCACGTCGGAACAGTGAACATGCAAAGAAGCAAAAATCTTAGGAAAGCCATCGGAAATCACTGATTTTCATCTCTCGGGGGCTTCTTCGGAGGACTCTGGAAGGCTCTTGGGACCCTCGTGGGCCTTAGTAGGAGCCTCGAGAAAGCCTCTCGGGAGGTCCAAGGAGCCTCGCGTGTCCTCTCACCTTCCTCTTTGGACGGAGAGCGCTAATTTTCGCGCTCGGAGGCTGCGATCCTCGTGAGGGGTCCCGTTTCCGGAAGCCCCGGTTGGAGAGGATCCTATTCCGGGGGGGGGGGTCCCACCCCCCAGGATTATAAAAATATAGAAAAGGGAATATATATATATATATATATATATATATATACGTGTATGTGTGTGATTGCTGCTGCACAAGAAAGGCCCTCAACATGCAGGCCCACGGGGCAAGGACCTGTGCGGGCGCGAACCGGAGTGAAAGTAGACACCTGCCCTGACTCATGAGGAGGGGACTTCGGACAGTAGTTTACACGCCTGGGGACGGAACAAATGGTGACGATTCCTAACAGCAAGTGCTGTCTAAAGCCGACAGCGGCCGATGTTGTGCAGGCCACTCTTGCTCCAACTGAACTACGCCCGCGGCCCGACACCGACAGGGAGCCATGCTCAGAATGGACTGAATGAGCAGGAGCTGCTGCCGGCCTTCGTTCCCACTCTGTCCTCGCGCATCATAGAAAAAGAAACCGGTATAAACATAAGCTGTCGGCGCTCCGCGCGGGCTTCTTGGATCTGCGCTGGACCCTTCTCCCTGGCGCGCGGAGCGCGCCGGGGCCAAGAAATCCGCGCGGAGCGCCAGAGGCTTATGTTTATGGCGTTTTTTCGTCTTCGGATGATTTCCCTGCCCGCCTCGCAGGGGGCCACACGCGCGAACCCTACCCCTGCCCCACACGAATTCTGGGGGGGAGGGGGGGGTTCGCATGTGGCCCCCCATGACTCCAAATCCGCCCTACTTTGGGATTTTTTCCAACTGAGGATTGCGTCGGAAACCCACTTATAAGAAGCCGAAAACGTTGGGCGGAAATTTCTGCACCCAGCATACAATAGGGCGAAAATCCGCAGAAGTAGGGCGGAAACGACAACAGAAAGTAGGGCGGAAATGGGCATCAGCGGGGCCTGAAAAGCAAGGCGGAAGTTCCAAGCCCTACTTACGAATTTCCCCATAAAGAGTAGGGCGGATCCGGAGTCATAGGGCGACGCAATCTATACATATCCACTGCTCCCTGGCCAGGCCCATCCTGAACACAGCAGCTGTGTATACGCCACGCCCTCCCGGTTTGGCCAGGAGGGCGTATACACAGCTCCTGGGTTCAGGAGGGGCCTGGCCAGGGAGCGGTGGATAGGTATAGATTGCGTCCCCCAAGAGTCAGGGCCCCAGCTCGATCCGTGCTGAAAAAGGCCCTGACGCCCGGTGGCCGTCGCCAAGGGCGCCCTCGCGCCCAGCCGGCGGACCACCGGGGGCCCCCACGGGACGACCCGGCCCGAGCACTGCGCAGAGAGCCGGGGGCCCAGAGTCAGAGCCAGAGTCGGAGGAGGAGGAGGAGGAGGAGGAGGAGGAGGAGGAGGAGGAGGAGGAGGAGGAGGAGGGAGGAGGAGGAGGAGGAGGAGGAGGAGGAGGAGGAGGAGGAGGAGGGGGCGCTGGAGGAGGAGGAGGAGGAGGAGGAGGAGGACGGAGGAGGAGGAGGAGGAGGAGAGGAGGAGGAGGAGGAGGAGGAGGAGGAGGAGGGCGCTGGAGACCCCCGGCGGCGCCTCCGGCGCAACGCCCCTGGCGCGCTCCGCGCGCCAGGGAGGGGGGTCCAGCGCCGATCCGAGAAATCCGCGCGGGCCTCCGAGTTTTCATGCTCATGTCATCGCTCGTTCACCTCATGGGGCGAGAAGCTGGAGGCACCTTGGGCTAGGGGCACCTTTAGCAACCCCCGGCCCGCGGCCAACCGGCAGGCCACGCGGCTGGCTGGCCGCGGGGGCCTGCGAACAGCTCCAGCAGCGCGGGCTGCTCGAACCAATCCGCCAGCAGCGCTTGTGCCCGGCACTGGGGTCGCGCGCGGAGTTCGTCGCCGTCGCGGTCGACGACGTCGTGATCGTCGTGCTCGTGGCCGTCGATGCCAACGCCGTCATCGTCCATGATCGTCGCTGTTGTCGCCGTCCTGCGCCTCGTCCTCTTTCTCTCCTTCCCCGCCTTCCGCTGCCTCGGCCTGGCCCGGTTCGGTGGCGCCTCGCGTCTGTCTCGGGGCAGCGCGAACGCTGCCGCTGCAGACGCGGCCTGTGCAATCTGAAGCACTTGAAAAAAGAAAAGGACCAGGACCAGGGCCGGGCCCCGAACCGACACAGCGGCACGAAACGACGCGGGGACCAGGCAGCCCCAGAGGAAGCGCAGATATCATAGCGCACCCCCCTCCAGAATCGACGAGCGGGTGGGCCCCGCCTCGGCGGGCGGCTCCGCTCAAGGCGCCTTGGGTGCCCTCTCCCCACCGCAGCAGTGGTGGTGGTGGACGTGGCCCTCGTCCGGGCAGCGGTCCAGCGCGAACCTGCCGTGGAGTTCGGGCCATTTCCGAATTACACGTTCCCTCAGTGCTTTCGCCGGGAGCTTGGAGAAATCGCTGGTGCGTTGCTTAGCTGGCGCTGTCCTCCAGCATCCTTCTGCCGACTTGCCTTGTAATACTAGATGCCCTCATCGATGGTCACGCCATCCTCAGTTCCTGAATGTCCTGATATACATCGGGATCTCGTCACAGAAGGTCGTGAGGATGGTGGTTGGTTTGGGGTACTTGGCTCCTGTTTGGCACTGGTGGAACTCCGCCGCTTGCAGCACACCTGGTAGCTTCTTCGACTTCTTGACACAGTCCAGCCTGAATAAGCTAACATAAGTACCACCGCATTTGGGGAAAGGGCGCTCCATTTCTGCTGGTATCATACGGACCTGGGCGGCCGTGAACAAGATCAAGGTACTGCGAAGAAAACCTCCTCCCAATGCAACTGTTCTTGTTCGCTTGGTCTGAGTGCAGGTACTCCCCATGGAAACTCTCTGGACCTCAATGGTCTGGGTGCTCTCCTCTGGCATGTTGGGCATCTTCTTCCCAATGTGACCTGGTTCCTGCAACACGTGTTACTCAACGCTCTCGTATGTGACCAGGTCTCGCAGGGGGAGGCCCGCAAACGTGGCAAGAACTATGCCACCTTCTCTTGAACAGGGCACTGACTCCCTGCATCTGGGAAGTCGATGTCGTCATCCGTGTAGCCCAGTGGTTGTGGTAGAACTTCCTCAGCACGTTTGTGGCAGCTCGTCTGCTGCCTCCTCCTCCTCCTCCTCCTCCTCCTCCTCCTCCTCCTCCTCCTCCTCGCTCAAGATGGCGGCCCTTCGTCGCTGGAGCGCCAATGGCGGCCGGACGACGCAGCTGAATGGTCTGGAGAGGCCTCCTCCTCCTCCTCCTCCTCCTCCTCCTCCTCCTCCTCCTCATTCCTCCTCATTCCTCCTCCTCCTCCTCCTCCTCCTCCTCCTCCTCCTCCTCATTCCTCCTCCTCCTCGGGGAGGGCATGCGGGCGCAACCTCCGGTGCCTCGGGTGGAGCTCTCCATGGGGCCACGAAGCGTCCGAGGAGTACGCCAAAGCGGGGTGGCGGCGGCATGCGGACGCAACCACTGGGGCACTAGGTGGAGGTCCATGCCAGGGCCACGAAACGTGTGGGGTGTGTGCAAAAGTGGGGTGGCGGCGGCATGCGGGCGCAATCACTGGGGCACATAGGTGCAGCTCCTCATGGGGCCAGGAAATGGGTGAGAGGTGTGCCAAAGTGGGATGGCAGGAGCATGCGGACGCAAGCACTGGGGCCTTAGGCGAACTGCCTATCGGGCGACGGAGCGTGCAAGGGGTATACCGAAGTGAGGTGGTGGCGGCATGCGGGCGCAGCCACTGGGGCCTTAGGTGGAGCTCCCTACGGGGCCACGAGATGTCCAAAGGGTGTACCAACGTGGGGTGCAGCGGCATGCGGACGCAACCACTGGGGCCTTAGGTGGAGCTCCCTACGGAGCCGCGAAGCGAGCTCTGGGAGCGCCCAGATGGGTTGGCGGCCGCATGTGGACGCAACGATTTGAACCTTGGTGGCTTCCTTTGGGGCTGCGAAGCGTGTGATGGGTGCGCCAAATTGGGGTGGCGGCGGCATGCGGGCGCAACCGCTGGAGCCTTAGGTGGAGCTCCCTATGGGGCCACGAAGCGTGCGAGGGGTGCCTCCCCAAATGGGGTGGCGGCGGCATGCGGACGCAACCACTGGGCACATAGGTGGAGCTCCCTATGGGGCCAGGAAGCGTGTGAGGGGTGCCTCCCCAAGTGGGGTGGCGGCGGCATGCGGGCGCAACCACTGGGCACATAGGTGGAGCTCCATATGGGGCCACGAAGCGTGTAAGTGGTGCGCCAAAGTGGAGTGGCGGCGGCATGCGGGCGCAACCACTGGGTACTTGAGCTCCCTATGGGGCCAGGAAGCGTGTGAGGGGTGCCTCCAAGTGGGAGGGCGGCGGCATGCGGGCGCAACCACTGGGCACGAAGGTGGAGCTCCATGTGGGGCCACGAAGCGTGTAAGTGGTGCGCCAAAGTGGAGTGGCGGCGGCATGCGGGCGCAACCACTGGGTACTTGAGCTCCCTATGGGGCCAGGAAGCGTGTGAGGGGTGCCTCCAAGTGGGGTGGCGGCGGCATGCGGGCGCAACACCTGGGCACATAGGTGGAGCTCCATATGGGGCCACGAAGCATGTAAGTGGTGCGCCAAAGTGGAGTGGCGGCGGCATGCGGGCGCAACCACTGGGGCCTTGGGTGGAGCTCCCCATGGGGCCACGAAATGTGTGAAGGGTGCGCCAAAGTGGGGTGGCGGCTGCATGCGGGCGCAACCACTGGGGCCTGAGGTGGAGCTCCCAACGGGGCTACGAAACGTGTGAGGGGTGTGCCAAAGTGGGGTGGTGGGTGGTGGGAGAGAGGAGGGAGGAGGGGAAGGAGGGGGAAGAGGAGAGAAGGAAGGAGGGAAAAGAAGCAGGGAGGACGCCTGGCACTGCTGATTCAAAACGAGGACCCGACTCAACACAGGATGGTTGGGAACAATCGCACATGCAGTAACGCAAGGAAAGCATCCTGGCGACGGGCCCAACAATACGCAGGCGTGAGTAGCTCAAGGCAAGTGGGACGACGGACGGGGAAGCCTCTATGGGGCCAAGAAGCCTGTAAGGTACTGACGCCATGCGGGTCCTGGTAATTGTGCCTCAGCTGGAGCTCCATAAGGGCCACGAAAGGTGCGAAAGGCGTGCCGGAATGAAACACCGACGCCATGCGGACACTGGCATTTGATCCTTAGCTGGAGCTCCCTATGGGGCCACGAACGGTGTGAGGGGTGTGCTGACATGAAGCACCGACACCATGCGGACCCTGGCATGTGGGCCTTAGCTGGAGCTCCTTATGGAGCCACGAAGTGTGTGAGGGATGTGCCGACATGAAGCATTGACGAAGCACCGCCGCCATGTGGACCTCGGCATGTAGGCCTTAGCAAGAACCCCGATGTGGGGCCACGATGCATGTGACGGGCGTGCCAACATGAAACACCGACGCCATGCGGATCCTGGCGTTTGAGCCTGCGCTGGGGCTTCCTATGGGACCACGAAGCGTGTCAGGGTGCCAAAATGAAGCACCGACGCCATGCGGACCCTAGCATGTGAGTCTTAGCTGGTTTCCCCTGTGGGGCCACGAGGGGTGTGAAGGGCGTGCCGACATGAGGCACCGACGCGATGCGGAACCTGCCATGTGGACCTTATCTGGAGATCCTTGTGGGACCACGGCGCGTGCGAGGGGTGCACCGAAATGAAACACAGACGCCACGCAGACCCTGGCATGTGGGCCTTAGCTGGAGCTCCCTGGTCCAGGTAGAGTCACGAAACGCGTCAAGGGTGTGCCGACATGAAGCACCAACGCCACGTGGACACTGGCAGTTGGGCCCCCTATGGGGCAAAACGTGTGAGGGGTGTGCTGAAATGGGGCACCGACGCCATGCGGGCCCTGGCATGTGGGCCTTAGCTGGTTCCCCTTATGAGGCCAAGAAGCATGTGAGGGGCGTGCCGACATGAGGCACCGACGCCATGACCCTGGCATGTGCGCCTCAGCTGGAGCTCCATAGGGGCCACGAGGGGTGTAAGGGGCGTGCCGAAATGCAGCGCCGACGTCATGCGGACTCTGGCATGTGCGCCTCAGCTGGAGCTCCATAAGGGGCCGCGTTGGGTGCAAGGGGTGTGCCGACATGAAGCACCGACGCCATGCGGACCCTGGCATGTGGGCCTTAGCTGGAGCTCCTTATGGGGCCGCGAATGGTGTGAAGGGTGTGCCGACATGAATAACCGACGCCACGCGGACCCTGACATTTGGGCCTTAGCTGGAGCTCCACATGGGGCCACGGGGCGTGTGAAGGATGTTCTGAAGTGGACACACGGGGTGGCAGGGATGGGAGGAGGAGGAAAGGGAGGAGGAAGAAAGAAGGGGGCGTGGGACGTTGTCTGTTCAATACGAAGACCCCAAACCACAAAATGGTTGGGACAAAGAGAAGCCACCGAACAACTTCTGTGCGTTCCTGCCTCCTCCTGGGGGTCTGCGGAATGGCGTAAACCTGTTGAACAACGAGCAGCGGCGCAGGGATGATGATGAACGACGATGATGATGCTGATGGTGGTGCGGATGACGATGATGATCATGTTGACGATGGGCATGATGGTGATGATGTTGATATTGACCATTGTTATACCGACGATAATGATGATGATGATGGTGATGATGATGATGATGATGAAGATGCTGATATTGACGAGGATGCCGATGATGAGGATGAAGATGATGAGGATGAAGGTGACGATGATGATGGTGTGATGATGTGGTTGATGATGAAGTTGAATAAGATGATTTTGTTACTACTGATGGTGATTGCGATGATGATGCATACATTGACGATGCTGATGATGATGGTGATGATTATTTTTGATAGTGGTGATGATGATGGCAATTCTGATGGTGCTGCTGATGATGATGCCGATGATGATGATGATGATGATGGTGATTCGTACGATGATGCTGATGCTGGTGATGGTGATGATGATGACGAGGAAGAGGAGGAGAAGGAACAGGAGGGAGGAGAAGCAAGGGAAGGAACGATGATGAAGGGCGCACCAGCGCCGGCCCCCCCCTAACGCAAGATGGCGGCGATTCGTCGCTGGAGAGCCAACCGCGCCTGGAAGGCGCAGCTGCGCGCTTCGTGAGCGCGAATGAGCTCGTCCCTCTGCTGGCCGCCTGGACAGTGCTCACTCACATGGCGGGCCCAGCCGCTGGCGAGTGTTGAGGCCCAGTAACACGACTGGCGTGCTGACCCCCCCCCTTCGCGACAAGGGGTGCGTCGCGCGTTCGTCGCCCGTGCGCCGCCCGTGCGTCGGCCGCCGAAAAGGCCGGCCGTCCTCGCGAACGTGCGCGTCGCCCTCGCCAGTGGCGAGCCCGGCCGCCCAGGCGACCCCGAGGCTCAACCACCACAGCTGCGAGAGCCCGTCCCCGGGGGTGCCTCGGGTGCTCCTCCCGCTCGGCCACGCGGGCCGCCCCTCCCCTGGCCTGCGGGGGACGAGGGCCCGGGATCTGCTCTGCCGCGGCTTGGCGGACAGATGCGTCCACCCAGTGCCGCCCCAGGCCCTGGTGGTGTTCGAGGGGGACGGCGCGCTCCAGCAGGTCCGCATCTGGTGGGTCCGCTGGCTGGCGGGCGCGCGCTGGCCGTCCCATGTGGCAGCTCTCTGCTCCTGCAGGGACTCGTGCTGGAGCCAGCGCCTAATGAACCCCGTCACCGTGTCCTCGAGCCTCCCGTGGCGCACAGTGACCCCCCCGCCATGGGTGAAGATGGTGGCGCGGCCGGCTCTGTCGCTCAGCGGGGCGCCGCAGGCAGCTGCGCCCGGCCCGCCGCCTCTGGCCCTGCTCTGGCGGAGAGCGGAGACGGCGGCCAGCTCAGCCTGCGCGCACTCCGGCCAGCACACCAGCACCCGCGGGCAAGAGGTCGACCAGCGCTCGCCCTCCGTGGAGCACGCCAGGTCGCCATAGGGCACAGCGGAAAGCCCGCCCTCCGCCACCCCCCCTCTCCTCCGTCTCCTCCCCTCCTCCTCTCCGCTCCTCCTCCTCCCCTCCTCTCTCCCCTCCCACCTCCTTCTCCCCCCTCTCCCCTCCCACCTCCTCTTCCCCCCTCTCTCCTCCTCCTCCTCCTCCTCCTTCTCCTCCTCCTCCTCCTCCTCCTCCTCCTCCTCCTCCTCCTCCTCCTCCTCCTCCTCCTCCTCCTCCTTCTCATGCCACCATCCTTCCCTTTCCTCTCCCCTCCCATACCTCTTCGGAGCAGCAGCGGCACCGCCAAGGCCAGGGCGAGGGGCCGCCGCCTTGTGGAACCGCCCCGACGCCGCAAAACACGCGGCGCCCCTGGAGAGGGCCTGGCTGGAGACCTCTCCGGCGCGACGCCCCGCGACGGCGGCGGCGGCGACCACTGCGACGACGGCGACGGCCACGAAGGGCGACGACGGCGACGGCGACGGCGGTGAAAGCGGCGGCGACGGCGGTAGCGGCGGCGACGGCGACGGGGCCGGCGACGGCTCGGAGTTCCCGCCCCGCCGCGCTCGGGTGCGGGGTGCAGGGGGATGGCCGGGTCTGGAGAGGGGCCAGCAGGCATGCGAGGGCAAGACCAGCCTCGCTTGGGCTGGCAGAGAGCCATCGGCTCCGTGCGAGGCCACCACCGCGCTCAACACCCTCCTCCTCCTCCTCCTCGCTGCCGAGCTTTGCCTCCGACTCTCGTCAGAGGAGGAACAGATACCCGATACCGCCCTCCTCCGCCCCCTGGCGCGCAGCAGCGCCCGCCGACGCCGTGGCCGCTGCAACAGTGCAGGGCTCAAACCCCAAGGGAAGCAGCATCGTCAACTACAATTCTGGGATCAGATCGTGCGAGAAAGGAAGCAGTAGCAGCCGCTATTGCCAGTGCGAAAAAAGGACAAACAGTGGCAGCAACCTCTGTCATCGCGGGAGCGCAGGAGCAGGAGCCAAACACCATCGGCTACATCAGTGGAGTCAGCTCGTGCGCAACCATAGCCAGGGGCAGCAAGCGCTGTCAAGGCGAAAAGGGCAAGCAGTGGCAGCAGGCAGCGACGCTGGACCTCCTCCTCCCCTTCCTCCTCCTCCTCCCCCTCCTCCTCCTCCTCCTCCTCCTCCTCCTCCTCCTCCTCCTCCTCCACCTCCTCCTCCTCCTCCTCCTCCTCCTCCTCCTCCTCCTCCTCTCCCTCCTCCTCCTCCTCCTCCTCCCTCCCCTCCTCCTCCTCCTCCTCCTCCTCCTCCTCCTCCTCCTCCTCCTCCTCCTCCTCCTCCTCCTCATCATCATCATCATCATCATCATCATCACCATCATCATTGCCTCGACTTGCCGCAGTCTCCTCGACCACGGGGCTGGGGGGCGGCCTGCGCGCAGGTGAGGCCGCTCGCCCCTCTCCTGCAACAAGCGCTGCACCTCCTGACGGCCCCCGTCGGTCCTCCTCGCCCCTTGCCGACGGCCTGCCCGCCCAGCTGTGGGTCCGACTGCCTGCGCGCCGAGTCAGCCGCCTCTGGGGGAGGAGGAGGAGGAGGAAGGGAGGGAGGAAGATGAGGGAGGGAGGGAGGGAGGGAGGGAGGGAGGGAGGGAGGGGGGGAGGAGGAGGAGGAGGAGGAGGAGGAGGAGGAGGAGGAGGAGGAGGGGAGGAGGAGGAGGAGGAGGAGGAGGAGGAGGAGGAGGAGGAGGAGGAGGAGGAGGAGGAGGAGGAGGAGGAGGAGGAGGAGCAAACGCAGGCCGCCGCGCTCCATCCAGTCTCCTCGACTTCGCCTCTCCGCCAAGGCCTGCAGTTCAGCCTCCTCCGCGGCCCGCGCGGAGGAGTCGGCCTCCTCGCTCGCGGCCCTGGCCGCGTGACGGTGTGGCCCTCCTGGCTGGGCCGATGCACCGCCGCGTGCCCGCGCCCGCCACGAGCCCGATCGCCAGGGGCAGCAGCGCCATCATGGGCCCGCGCTGTGGCCTGGCCCGCCTCCCCCCGAACCTCCGACGTCTCGGTTTTTGTCGCGACACGGGCCCCCGACCTCCCGATCACTTCCCCGGGACCGGTTATTCCAGGGGGCCACATGCGAACCCTACCCCTGCCCCCCCACGATTTCCGAGGGGGAGGGTGGGGTTCACTTCGCTCGGGAGCTCCCGAACGAAGTGCACCCCACCCTCCCCCTCGGAAATCGTGGGGGGTAGGGGTAGGGTTCACATGTGGCCCCCTATTTTCGTCCCAGAGAAGCCGTCCTGGGGCCGTCTTGGGAGCCTCATGTGGGGCCTCGTGAGACGTCCTTGGGCCGATCCTGGGGGCCCGTACTGCCGTTTTGGAGGCTTTGAAAACGAAAAGCACGGGAGTTGCGAAAATGCACGTCTCCCGCAGGTTTGGGCAAATTGTTGCTTGTGCGAGCTCTCTCGGGCGTCTTCTGGGAGCCCACTTGGAGCGTTTTGGGGGCCTCGTGGGTGCCTCTTGGGGTCGTTTTGGGCGCCTGTGGGGCCGTTTTTGGACCGTCTGGAGGCCCTCTTGGCCCATCTGTGGCCGCTCTTGGGGCTGTCTTGACTGTTTCTTGGGCTGTAGTGGACGCCAGAGGAGCCGTTCTGGGGCCGTCGGGGGCCATCTTGGGAGCCTCATAGGGGCCTCCTGAAACATCTTGGCCCGGTCTTGGGGGCCCGTATTGGCGTCGTGGACGCTTCGAAAATGAAAAGCACGGGAGTTGCGAAAATGTACGTTGTGCGAGCTCTCTCGGGCGTCTTCTGGGAGCCCACTTGGCGCGTTTCGGGGGCCTCGTGGGCCGTCGGGAGGCTATCTGGAGCGTCTTCGAGCGCTCGTGGATCGCCTCGCAGGCCCTCTTGGACCGTCTCGGGGCCCTCGAGCCTCTGTGGGGAGGCCCCCCGAAGCCGTCGTGGAGCGCCTCGGGGCCGCCCGGGAGCGCGCGGGGTCCCGCCGGAGGGCTCTACCGACATTTGCTTTTTGTTTCTCCTTCTGGCACGCGCTTGCTCCCGCCATGTAGGACAGCTGATGTAGGGCTCCAGCTTCGCCTCCCGCATCTCGCTCAGCAGCGCCAATGCCCCAGCGCTGAAGCTGATGACGGAGGGCTCCACTTTCTCCTCCGGCATCGCCCAGGGCAGCGCCAGTGCCCTCTGCCACTGCCCGCCCTTTTCGCACGAGCTGATCCCAACATTGTAGCTGATGACGTCGGCCTCCAGCTTCGCCTCCCACATCTCACTAAGTACTGACAACGCGTGTTGCCACTGCCCACCTTTTCTGCATGCACTGGCAGTCGCAGTGTAGCGGTTTGGGACGAGTTGCACACCTAATCGAATTCCTTCGCGGAGCAACCGCAATGCTGCGTTCCATTGTTTTGTCTGACCGCAGTTCTTGATCGACACTGCGAGGGAATCAGCGCCTGCTCGAGACCCTCAACCGATGTCCAGCATCCGAAAAGACACCTCTCCGCGCCTTGAACATCTTTGAGCATCCTCCTCCGCCTCCTCCTTGAGCATCCTCCTCCTCCTCCTCCTCCTCCACTTCCCTTTTCTTCTCCTCCTCCCTCCCTCCTACCCCCCTCCCTCCCTCCTCCCTCCCTCCTCCCTCTCCCTCTCTTATTTATCATCATCCTCTTCCTCTCCTCCTCCTCCTCCTCCTCCTCCTCCTCCTCCTCCTCTATACATATACATACATCATACATACATACATACATACATACATACATACATACATACATACATACATACATACATACATACATACATACATATCATACATACTACATACATACATAATACATATACATATATACATACATACATACATACATACATACATACATACATACATACATGCATACACACATACATACATACACACATACATACATACACACATACATACATACATACATACACACATACATACATACATACATACATACATACATACATACATACATACGTACGTACATACATACATACATACATACTTACATACTTACATACATACATACATACATACATACATACATACATGCATGCATGCATGTATGCATACATACATACATACATACATACATACATACATATATATATATACAAGGCTGCATAGGCGCTTCGCGCCATGCATCTTGTTCCTTGAAGCTTTGGATCGGCTGGCTTCTCGCGGTATCCTGCGGTCCCTTCGAGGGGTCCTCGCGGGCTCGCATTGCGAATGTGCAGAGGTTGCGGAGGGGGAGTGGGAGAACTTGGTGTTCGAAGCAACGAAAGGGGCAAATGGAATGCAAGAAAAGGACTTCAGAGGGAAACTTATCGAATCCCGGGTTCGCAACCAAATTTCTTTAAAAAAGGGTGCGAACCCAGGATTCTGACCAGAATGCAGCTTTATACTGCAAAATATGAGGCAGGGGGGGCGCGGGGAGGCGTGCTGACGCGACTTTGGGACAGGCAGGCTCTACGAACGTTATGTATGGGCTTCGTTCTCACCTTCCTCTTTGGACGGAGAGCGCTAATTTTCGCGCTCGGAGGCTGCGATCCTCGTGAGGGGTCCCGTTTCCGGAAGTCCCGGTTGGGGAGGATCCTATTTCGGGGGGGGGGGTCCCACCCCCCAGGATTATAAAGGCCTTCTTCGGAGAACTCGTGGAGGTTCTTAGAGGCCTTGTGGGGCGTCGTGGGGGAACTTCGTGAATGCTTCTTGGCGGCTCTTGGGCGCCTCGTGGCACGTCTGGGGAGCCGTTGAGGAGTCTTGGAGCTTCGTGTGGGCGTCTGGGTGCAGAGTCCTTGAAATCATAAGCCTTTTGCGCGCCTTGTGGCCCTTCTTGTGGCCTCCTGGAAGGGGCTTGGGGCCTCGCGTGGCCGTGTGGGAGCCGAGCGCGTTGCAATTGTATGTTTTTTCCCTTTTAAGCTCTATCTGAAGCTTGTCTTGGGGCTCTCTGGGGCCGTCTTGGGCACGGCTTGGGCCGTCTGGAGGCTCTGTTGGGCCGGCTGTGGACTCGCTTGGAGGCTGCTTGGGCCCTCTGGGATTGGTCTTGTGGGCGTCTTCGGCCGTCTTGGCACGTCGGAACAGTGAACATGCAACGAAGCCAAAATCTTAGGAAAGCCATAGGAAATTAATGATTTTGATCTCTTGGGGCCTTCTTCAGAGAACTCTGCGAGGTTCGTGGGGCCTTCTCAAGCTGTCGGGGGAACCTTTAAGAAGCTTTTAAGGCAACCCGAGGACCCTCGCGTACCCTCGTAGGTGCCTCTTCGGACGAAGATCGCTCAGTTTCGCGCTGGAAGGCTGCGATCCTCGTGAGGGGTGCCGTTTCTGAAGGCCGTCTTGGGGCTCTCTGGGGCCGTCTTGGGCACCCCTTGGGCCGTGTCGGGGCTGTCTTGGGCCGGTTTCGGACTCGCTTGGAGGCCTCTTGAGCCGTCTGGCATCGGTCTTGTGGGCGTCTTCGGCCGTCTTGGCACGTCGGAACAGTGAACATGCAAAGAAGCAAAAATCTTAGAAAAACCATAGGAAATCACTGATTTTCATCTCTCGGGGGCTTCTTCGGAGGACTCTGGAAGGCTCTTGGGACCCTCTTGGGCCTTCGTAGGAGCCTCGAGAAAGCCTCTCGGGAGGTCCAAGGAGCCTCGCGTGTCCTCTCACCTTCCTCTTTGGACGGAGAGCGCTAATTTTCGCGCTCGGAGGCTGCGATCCTCGTGAGGGGTCCCGTTTCCGGAAGCCCCGGTTGGGGAGGATCCTATTTCGGGGGGGGGGGTCCCACCCCCCAGGATTATAAAAATATAGAAAAGGGAATATGTGTATCCCTGTCCTTTTCCTCATAAGAGATCCTCCCTGTCGCACCCCGAAACGCATCGGTAAGGCGGGCCGGGCGTTTTGCCTGAGACTTTCTCACCACTCATGATCCAGAACCTGGGAAGTTGCAAGAGGTTCACACATGTAGGGCGGGCCGTCTTCAGAATGTGGCTCTCGCCTGAGCGCCGCGCACATTCGTTTTAAAAGCTTACACGAGCTTCCTAGATGGAGGGCGGGTCGCTTTCAAAAGCATGCTCTCGCCTCAGCGTCGCACGCATTCCTTCTAAAACTTGCAAGGCCTTCGCGGATGGATGGCGGGCCGCTTTCAAACATGTGGGAATCGCTCTAACTACGCGCATATTCGTCATACAGGTCTGCAACAGCTTGCACATGGAGGGCGGGCTGTTATTGAAATGTGGCTCTCGCCGTAGCGTCGTACACATTCGTTTTTCAAAGTTTGCAAGAGCTTTACAAGTGGAGGGCGGGCAATTTTCAACATGTGGCTCTCGCCGTAGCACCGCGCACATTTTTTCACGATTTTATAGCGGCTTCAAAGGTTTTCGTGGCTAACGTCCGAGAGCTGATGTTTGGGAACGGTGTCGGCCTTTCAGGGCGCAAGGGTTACGTTGATTCACGGCGTTGGAGTCACAGGAACGGCGTTCTGGCGCGATTCGGGCATGTCAAAATGCAACATTGACGGTGATTCGCGGCATTGAAGTCCTAGTCCTAAGAATGGTGCTCTGGTGCATTTCAAGACTTTCAAGCAATTGCCCTCCAAAGGGGCCGTTCCCTCAGTGAAAATGAATATTTGCAGGGGCCTATGAGGAGGGAGCTTGTAGGGAGGGTTTACTGAAATATCGTTGAGGAGTCTTGGGCTTGGCTGCCCCGACACGCAGCACGCAGCACGTAACCTATAGATACGGCTCTGAGCATATATATCGGAAACGCAGGTATGACGCGGTACGTTCGCCAAAACGTGGGGCAATACGTTGAGCCAGCTTTTTTGCGCCGGCGGCTAGGCAGAGCAACTGCGCTGCGGAAGTGCGGACTAAACGGAGGCACCGTTGTAGCGAATTGTGCAACCTTGAAAAAGAGAGAGAGAGAGAGAGAGAGAGTGTGAGAGAGAGAGAAGAAAAACGGGGAAGGGGCGGCCGAAGGGGGGGGAGAACGTTGAGCCAACACACAACGTATTGACACGGACGTTTTGAGCACGGTACGTGTTGCGTATCATAGCAGGCGTATCGACGCAGCTAAGGCCTTGGGCTTGCACTGGTCCTCCTCCTCCTCCCTCTCCTCCTCCTCCCTCTCCTCCTCCTCCTTCTCCTCCTCCTCCTCCTCCTCTTCCTCCTCCTCCTCTTCCTCCTCCTCCTCCTCCTCCTCCTCCTCCTCCTCCTCCTCCTCCTCCTCCCTCCTCCCTCCTCCCTCCTCCTCCTCAGCAGAGCAGCGACGCCCGCCGCGGCAGCGGCAACGAAGACCTCCCCCTCCCCGATAACGCCCAGGACGGCGTACAGGATCCGGGTGGCCTCGTCGCGGCCGCGAGCGCTCGGGAAGCACTGCGCTCCGCGGGCCCTGGAGATGTCTCATGAAGAAAATCCTGGAGGCCTCGCGCGGCAACTTGAGACCCGATGTACGTTGGACCTACGTCGGATTTACGTCGGGTTCACGTCGGACTACGTCGGATTTACGTCGGATTTACGTCGGACTGACTCCTGAGCATCGCCGCGCGAGCGTCGACCCATGGCTTACGGAACTGACAAGTGGACTAGATCATACTACTATTACGCGCCGCGCGGGCCTCCAGGATTTTCCTCGTAAGATGTCAAACCATGATGTCACCGTTTCCACAAATCTGGCTCTTGCAGATTAGAACGCGATGCTCACCGAAGCGGAAAAGCAGACCGGCGCCAGAGTCGGAAGCGGAAACGGAAAACCCCTGCGACGGAACCAGAACGCAAAATTGAATAACGGAACCGACAAGAAAGGCCCTGGCGTTTCGAGGGCCCACGTAAGCACTAGGTGCGAAGGAGACCTTTCCTGTCCCATGGCGCCGCCATCCGCATCGAATCCACGTCGAGTCCATGTCGAAAGCGTCGAATATACGTCGCATCCGCGTCGAAGCCATCAGTATCGGCTGCAAAGAAGTACCTGCCAATTACAGGACAAGCGAGGTTCCCCGAACAACGGAGGAGGAGCAGGAAGAGCAGCAGGAGGAACAAGACGAGGATAGAGATGAAAAACCAACACAAATGTGCACTTTCGGATGTCCGTGCTGGTTTCTTGGATCGGCGCCCTCCCCTCCCTGGCGCGCGAAGCGCGCCACGGGTGGCGCTGGAGGCGCCGCCAGGACGAGGTCCAGCGCCGATCCAAGAACTCCGCGCGGACATCCGAAAGCACACCCAGCAAACAATCTAAGGCTCTCTGTCGACTTCGTTTGCCTGCGTCGTTGGATGGGCTTCCTGGGCTCTCGCCACGCTCAGCGGGCCGCGCCCGCTCGCGGGCGCCCCGCGGGGGCGGCCCGCTCGAGGGCGCGCAGACATGGATTAGCGATCCATGGATTTTGAAGGGGCCCCAGGACACACAAATGAATACACACAAATAAAATGATTCCCCATGTTTTCCCATATTTTTTTGGTTTCTGTCTTCCCCCTCACTTCCCATATTTTTGCATATTTTCCTGGGAGTCGACGATTAATTGTGTCTGTGTGTTTCTTTCCCTCCTGAGATTTGGCGCGCGGTCGCCAAATCCATGGATCGGGGGAGGTGCCCTCCCCAAAATGCGGCCGGTGCCGCCTCGTTCGGCGGCGGAAATCCGCGCTTTCCCCCGGAAGCGGGACCCGTCGCTGATCCACGCCCCCTTGAGATCCATGTTTGCGATCGCCTGACCCTTGCGCTGGATGGGTTTCCCGAGGTTTCGCCACGCTCGCGCCCTTATCCTTGTGGATGCCATGACAATGGACACTCGATCAGTCCTATCATTGAATTCAAGATGTGTTTAAACTGTGTACAGCATGTTCTCCAAACGTTTCACCTTTGGTTTTAATATATGTATATATAGATATGTATAAAAAAACAGGTTCGAAACATATTTTAGACATCTGGAAATTATTTGGCAGCATGCTTCCTCTCCATTATTCGGCAGCACGCTTCCCCCTCGTGGGCGCACCGTGCGCTGGGCGGGTTTCCCGAGATTTCGCCACGTCCGCGCCCGCGCCCCCCGCGAGCGCCTCGTGGGCGCCCCAGGCCCGGGGGTGGGTTTTCCCACCACGCTCCTGCCCGTTTTCGCTCGTGGGCGCCCAGTGCGCTGTGTATGAGGAGGGGGCGGAGGAGGCGGCGGAGGAGGAGGAGGAGGAGGCGGAGGAGGCGGAGGAGGAGGGGGCGGAGGAGGAGAGTGAGGAGGTGGAGAAGGAGGGGGGGCAGGAGGAGGAGGAGGAGGAGGAGGAGGAGGAGGAAGAGAAGGAGCGGAGGAGGAGGCGGAGGAGGCGGAGGAGGAGGGAGGAGGCGGAGGCGGAGGAGGACCAGGAGGAGGAGGAGGCGGAGGAGTCCACGCCCGTGCTCGCGCGTGGGCGCCCAGCGCGCTGCGTGGGATCCCCGAGGTCTCGTCGAGGTCGCGCCCGTGCCTGCCCGTGGGCGCCTCGCGGGCGCCGCGCGGGCGCCGCGTGGAGGAGGAGGAGGAGGAGGAGGAGGAGGAGGAGGAGGAGGAGGAGGAGGAGGAGGAGGAGGAGGAGGAGGGAGGAGGAGGGAGAAGGGAGGCGGAGGAGGCACCGCACAGCTCACACCACGCAGCTTGCACCGCACACCGCCTACGCCGCATACTGAGGGATGAAAAAAACGGCCCTACCCTGGGTTACAAGTGCGTGGTCTGTAAACCTCCTGGGAACGCCCAAAGCCTAGAGCCGCCAGGACGCGGCACGTCGCGCAGGGCTGATCCTGTCAGCGCACAGGGGTTTCAGCGCACGGCGCCTCGTAAACCAGGGTAGGGGCGTTTTTTGCTGCCCTTGGGCATAGCTTGCACCGCACAGCTCGCACCGCATAGCTCGTACCACACAGCACGTAGTTCACACCAGGCATATCCCGCACCAGAACTTCCTAGAGGGCAGAACATCCACATCCATAGTGATGACTCCGACACGCGAAGCCGTTTAGTAAACGCACCCAATAGAAGGACTAAAGCAGACCAGGGCTGTTTAGTAAACGCCCAGGGCCGTCCAAAAAACGCCCATTGTCGGGTCCGGGTGGTTTTCCTCCCTGGACTCACACCACATAGCTTACACCGCAGAACTTACATCGCATATGCATAGCTTGCACCGCATTACTCACAGCACATAGCCTAGCCCGCATACCTCGCACAACATAGCTGACGCCGAACATGCTCCACGAAAACGACCAGGAACCGCAGATCGTTAAATCCGCTGCCCCTCAAAGAGAGCTATCCCATGCGCGCGGCAAGCGGACAAGCGAGCACAATGAGACACGAACGCTGCAAGTCAGAGCAAACCATCGCGTCGCGACGGCAAGAAGTCAGTTGCAATCTGAGCGGTCGCAGCTGGGGCGAGGCAGGGCGACCAACAAGCTGATACCAAGGCTCCGAGGAGGGAGCAGATGGGGCAAAGGCGGTGCGTGAGTGTGTGTATGTGTGTGTGTGCACCCATGGCGACTCTGAGTGGGCCCGGCTTCCTCTCTTCCTGTCGCGCCGGAGCTCCTCCTCTTCCTCCATGCATGGTGGCTTTAATTTGCATACAGCGTGTCCCATGTTGCCAATCCGCCGGAGCAGTCACCGTCTGCCCAGCCGCCGACGCAAATTGCGTGCATCCATGTGCATCCCATGTGGTCAAAACGACCACATGTACAATACACGGCAACAGTCAAGAGATAGCGAGAGAGAACGCGCAACACAAAATTGGCTACGTAAAGCCAGCGCGGCGCCGAGAGATGATGGGAAACGAAACCCGGATTCTTATCACGATGGAGGCGGAGACAAGCAGAGAAGGCAGCAGAGGAGGGGCAGCAACGAGAGAGAGGAGGACGCAAGAGCGTCCGCCGAAAGCCCCCAATGCCGGAGCAGAGCCATCTAGCCCACAAGGTCGGCGAAAAATCTACGACGGGCAACTCTACTCTGCCGAGCTGCGGGGCATAACCGCTAAGCCCGCGCGCCCCGCCTGTCGCCGCCCCCCCGAGGGGGGCCCGAGGGCCCACGGCCCGGCAGGATTCCGCAGGGCAGCGCCCCCGGCAGGCACGCCGCGCGTGTTCGGCGAGACGCACGGCGCCGCAGGCGACCTGCCCGTCTGGCCCGCGAGGAGGCCGACGCAGGGAGGTCGACACCCCCTAGGCCTACCCTAGGCCTGCGAGGTCTACCCCCTGGGCCTACCCTAGGCCTGCCCCTAGGCCTTCCCCCTAGGCCTACCCATAGGCCTTCCCCTTTAGGCCCACCCCAGGCGTTGGCGCCGCCCTGGCCGATCTCGAAACGCGGTGGCCCGTCTTGGGGCAGGCGCTGCGCGAGTTCGGCCGGCTGTCTGGCACGGAAACGACCCTGGGCCGAAGACGGTCAGCATCCCGCTCTGGGGCGGCTCGCTGCAGGAGGCGACGGCCGCGCTTTGCTTGGCGTGTCCTGCCTGGGCCAGCTTGCCGCCGAGACGGGCAGCCGCATAGCTCCGATGCGCCGTAGGGCCAGGCAAAGAGGACGTCATGTGGAAGGCAGTCGTGGGCAAATTCCGAGGGCGCGTCGGGGGCTGGCATTGGAGAGAGGTGGGGCTGCATTTCGCAACGTCCGCGTACAACACCGACGCTTTGCCAGTACTTTCGTCCCTCGTGCGAGCTTCGGCGCCCACAGCTGACGCGCTCGCAACAGAGTCTTGGGATCTGCGAAGAGCCGCGCCAGGGCTGGGGAACTGGGCCGTCCCAGAGGACTGATGGGGGCCTGAAGGAGCATTATGGGATGCCGCGATCTTCCAGCTCCCTTCACGACCTGGCGAAGGCCGCGCAGCTCCGTGTCTTCCATTGCGAGAACTCGGCGCAAGGAGGGCTGCGGCTGGAAGAGAACGCGGCGCAGCTCCGCGCCCTGGGACGACTCGTTCCGTGGGCGAACCGCAGGCATCGAGGGAGCTGCTGCGAGGAGCGGGAGAACAACCCGGGCGATCGCGCGGGAGAGGATTGCGGCGCGGGCACGGAGGCACCCCGCACTTCCGGATGCGCCACACGCTCGAAAAGGTGGGCACTGCCGGGCCTGCCACGGGAGGTGGCGACCCGCTCTGAGCACAGCCCACAACGCCTGCGAGGCCTGGTCCCCCGGTCGTCGCCGCAGCGCTCAGCACAGGGGTGTAGCCGCGGACCGCGGTGGTGCACGGAGCGCCATCGCTCGCCTCCCCTCCCGCTTCGCCGTCCTCGTCGTTCTGTCGCCTCCTCGTCCTCCTCCCTCCCGCCCCCCGGCGTGCGGTTGCCTTCGCGTCCTGGCCGGGCGGCGGAAGGGTCCCGCGGCTCCGCGGGCGACGCTCCCGCCGCCTGACGCCTCGAGTGCGCGATCCTTGGCCTCACTGCGCCCTACTGCG